GTGTGTGGGGTGGGGGGGCATTAATCTACTAAAAAGAATTGTAATGCTTACATAATATAAGTGAGATGTAATAATAATTATTACTTTAGTTTTTGTTTAAATTCTAAACCTTGACGGATGCAATTTTTCGCAACCAGCGGGGTACAATGTAAGTCAATGCTGTCCAGGGTTATTTGTCTGTTGTATTATTTGTAAAATATACGCCACAACATTGGAGGGATATTTAAAGATGTGCCTCGGGTGTAATTCAATAAAGATGTCCCGTATCCTGCACAGGGGCAAACGCATCCGCTTACAGAGCATCGCGCGATAATATTATAGGGAGTCAATAGAATACACGCGCCTCACTAAAAAGGAGTTTGAAGATGATTAGTTGTTATTAGGGTGTAAACTGGTTGGGCTTTTAGTAAAAGGAGTTGCTTTTAATTCTTGAATTTTTGCCTCCGGGAAAGGTTACAGAAAAGATCGACACGTGGAACGAATCATTTTATATTAGTTTATCTTTAATTCGATTTAAAGAAAGAAACAAACAGAAATGATTACACTCGAGACATACTGGAAAGTATAGAGAGACAACATTTCATTATTCCACGACATTTTTTAAGACGAAAATTTTAATTTCCCTGTTTCTGCTTGTTTTGCCCGTTCAAGCAAAGGTAATATGATATTTATCACGGCTCTTGGCTGGCTTCCGCTTTACTTATTCATGTACATGTCTATAAGGCTGCATGAGTTGTCTTCGACGATTTTAAAGTTTTATTTTCACTTTATGAGACTAAGAATTGAACAAAAAACAAAAAAACCTCCTGCGCTTCAGACTGATTCAGTTCCATCGTTTAAAAAAAACCCGAACCTTTTAAGTTTCCATGCACGACAGCTCCATTCCGATTTCACAAGACACTTTTACGCAAACCCTATTAGTCACAATTACAGAAGGGTTCGTCTAAAATGTAAGAAGAAAAACGTCTTTAAATTTAAGCAATGAAACTAACCAGCTGTTTATAGCTTATCTAAAAATAAGAAATACTAAACTTCAAAGAGTTAGGTTTAAGAATTAAAGACATTATTCAAGAGATAAGAAAAACAACGGCAGGAAAGTGACCAAGGACTGTGTCTCCAAGAAAAGCAAACTTAAATTATAAAATTAAAAAGTTACTCTGAAAAAAATTATAGCCGGTATCATAGTTCTCACTGGCAGCTCAACCATGTACCCAATCAAGGCAAATTTACCAAGCCTTAACATTAAAAATAAAGCTACAAAGTATTGACATCACACGAGTAGTTGGTGGAGTTACGAGATTGGGAGCCAGGGCAGAGGTCTTTTTCCTAAATCTGTTTACAAACATCCCAGTGGAAAATTATAATATGTTGGATGAAGCAATGCCGTTAATATATTGATATGCTGTGTCCAAGGTCCATAATTGTCTCTTGTGTGTCTACCTGCCTACTCATTCATCTAGGCCTATTTATCGGCATGTCTGTCGCTCTTTGTTTTGTGTCCTTTAGTCTGCCTCCCCAGCTAATTGAACATTTATTCGTTTTCCTCAAAATCCGTACAATGAAAAACATGTCGTACATATACATTGTATTTGCATAGAATTGTTTGTTTGTTTTTGTTTGCTTGTTCGTTTGTTCGTGTATATTTGTCATTTATTTAGGCCTACTTACCTGTCTTTTGATACCTATGTTTCTTCATTTGCATTGCTCGATGCTCTTTCTTGCCTTCATAAAAATAATGTTAATGTCTCCTTTCTTCACTGATTGAATGTGTTCCCATGTATCATCATCATCGTTATCATCATCATTATTCATCGTTCTCATCATCATCGATATCATTACCATCATAGCTTACATCATTGGTATCAGCAGCAGGGCTATCACTCCCCTCATGATCGTACATTTTCATCAGAGTATCCAGTCCAAGATGTCCCTGTCGTGGCTCCTCTCCGCTCTCCTCTTGACGGTCTGTCTCATCGCCTCTGTGAGTTCCCAGTCGTACTACAGGGACAGCCTTGGTCTCCGAGGCTTTGGCAGTGGGAGCTACTACAATGTTCATTCCAACAGAGGGCGCAGATTCCTGGGGCTCAATCAACAACTTTATCCTCGGCGATACGTTGACAACACCGGTTACGGTTTCTATAGAAACAACAATCTGGGTCTTCGAAACAGGGGCAACAACTTTTACGTCAACGATATTCTGTTCAGAGATCCTGGGAATTTTGGCCAAGGATACGACAGAATAATGTATTAAGAATATCAAAAGACTTAATCAAAGGTGCTTTGGAGCAACAACAAAAATACGATTGATAATGGAGTAGATCTAGACTTATGAGGCCAAATTCTAATTAAAACGGAACGGCAAAAAAAAAGTGGTGTGGTGTGTGTCTAGCTTCAATGTGATTGATTTTGGCAGTATTAAAATATATTAATAAAGTGATTTTGCTTCAAAGTGTCAAACTGCATTTGAGTCTATTTCCATATTTAAATGCTTTTGGTCATGTATGGCGTTCATTTCCACGCTGCCGATATGGTCTAGATAGAACGGTAACGTGCTTTATCAAAGAGGACTGAGTCTATATTACAGATATGAAAACTTCCCTAAAAGCTAATCGTTTTAAGTTCTCAGGAGTCGACCTCATGGTCTTCAAAATATGAGGCAATAAGTCTATGGCAGTTACGTGATCAACGATACAAAAAAAACACACTTCGCTAACCGACAAAACTCAATTTCATTATAAGTGCACTGCGATCTGAAAAGCGCCCATGTAGCTTTCCCCTTCCTGCTACCATTTTTGTACCTGTTGACGGTAGCCTACGTAAAATACATTGTTTCATGAAAAAAAATGCACCTTGAAATAGAGTAGTATAGACTAGAGAGCGAATGAGCGTCGGATTAGGATCGTCTGACATGTAAAACTCGCTATCCCCTGTGTGGTTCTGTGGGGAATAATCAGGCTGGTTTTCGGTGGGTTTGTATATTGACATGAATTAGTAGTCAAAAAACTATATTTAGCTTGTTCTCCCCCAAAATGACAATATGGTTCCAAATGACGTGAGTCTGGGTTCAAATTCGTGATAGGCCTACGTAGCGGATTTCCATCATAAAAAGTGTTTGTGCGACTTTTCCAGCCCACTACGAATAATGGGGGTGAAAAGGACGCAAACCTACACAAATCATTACTATTCCGTAAATAAAAGCGTAACTTGTGACTGGTGGCGAATGCGTTTGATAAAAGACTATATCAGCTCAGCTTTGAAGGCTTACATCATAATGTCGTGTTCTACAAAGGTCGCTACCTCAGAATTACAAAGTTCTATCTGACATTTCTTGCTGTTTTAAGTTACTAAAACCATGAGATCAGAAGTCAAGTTATGTTCAATCTGCTCTGCCAAACTCATAAGATTATTCAGAGTCTTCATCAAGATATTTAAAGAATTGCTTTTGAAAAAGCTTGCCATTTTGAAAAACTCATTTTATTTTACGTCAGATTTCTCAAAACTAGCTACTGAGCAGAGAGATCTTTGTAATTCTAGGGTAGCAAGTTATCAGGAACGCACTAATCGACGTTTGCACAGACCCGGCAAAAAAGAACTTTTGTATAATTCATCGTTAGGACAAAAAGCACTGTCATAATAATAATGCATAATAATGGGAACAAGCTGCCGTCTTTTCTATCTTTACCAACACTCTTGGAAAGCACATTTTCAAACTTATCAAAATGTACCCTCGTATCTGTCGCAAATGAATGTTATCTGATTTGTACATGTACATGATGTAGAATTACAGCGCATGTGTTCCTGATTATCAAGCGCCTTCGTATCTTCAAGCACTGATAACACAGTTCCATTTCATCAAAACTAAAACGCAGTGACCAATATCTTTGTCAGCCTTATTTATTTAGGTGTCTCATTTATGGAACCGTGCACAGCTGACGGAACTGTTTCAGCAATAAATGTACCGTGTTGTTGGCAGTCAGCCGGGAAGTTGGCCTTGCGCCAAACCAACTCAGACCTTACAACGCTTTTTGGTCTTTCCCCTCTGCCGGGAATATCGGTGTTATAAAAGTGTAGTGGGTGGTTGGAGGATGCTTTAGTGTGGTTTGCTCCTTCTTTCCTATTTAAAAAAAACCTCTGTTGACCTTCTCTTTCCTCTTTTTTTGTGTTTGTTACTTTCTTGTAACACTTCTGATCTTCGTCACTTATATTATGACTTTATTGTGTTGCAAGTGCCGTAAAACTCTTACTAAAACTAAACAAAACAAAATAAAAGTGTAGTCTGTTTGACTTTATTCGCTCTCCTTGTCTGGGACAACCCCCCCCCCCTCTTCCCTCGAACACATACATGTACTCCATTCTCTTTTTCCCTGGTTTATCTTATCGGCCATGAACAAGCTACAGCATATTAAGATGATCTGAGCGTCATCAGAGTTGGTTAAATCATTATCATCTAGTTAATCTTCTGTATCACGAAATAAAATACGATTTAGGATTTTAAGCACAAAATGTTAGCGATAAACACACTCATAGTCAATGGTTCGCTTCTCTAGATGGTACATATTATCGTCCTATTGTTCTCTTTTATCTACATGAGGCCCTAGAACGTATCCAGTCGTTCGGGATATCGCAAGGTTAATTCAGTGCATGGAACGTTGCCATCGAATCCATTTATATTTGAGATTAGGGACACACTCGGCTGTTGGCCAGAACCCTCACAAGAGCAGGGACCTATGATTATGTTTATATTAATATGTTTACTGTAGATAAACTTATGAAATATAAATGCAGTGTGTTTGTGTGTGTTTGTGTTTGTGTGTGTGCCTCTTTCTCTCTCTAACTCACATTCTCTCTCAAACTCCTCCCACCCCCTTCTCTCTCTCTCTCTCTCTC